AGGAAATAAACACAATAAACCCCCACAAACAAAATGAGCAAAACAAACAGACAAAAAATGAAAACAAGGAACCAAACTCACTCTGAGGTCTTTCCTGTAAGTCCAATGTCCTTTCAGATCTGATTTTTAACCCCTCTAGATAGGGTAACTCGCAGCTTGGATCAAATGCCCATGCCTACTTTAGAAAGAGGGTGGATCAGATGTCTATTAATGCTGATTGCTGCCTGTCAAGTCTTCCACTCAGATCTGACCTGTCTGTGTCCAGTCCTGCATAGGAGAGGGGCTTCTGTCTCTCCAAGTTTGATGAGACTACTTTAGGTGCCACGTTAGAGGCTAGATGGAGCTGGATGGGGCAATGAAGAGCTCTGAAGGTCCTGGGACAGAGAAAATGGATGTGGTCAGCATTTCCTGACCACGCATTGGGCTCTCCTCTGGCTCTCCCGGTTCCTCTATCTCCACTGATCAGATCTGAGGCTCCAGTGGATCCACTGCAAGCGGTGATTAGAATCAGCCAGTTTCAATATTCTCTTTTCAAGATCAGATGACCTTGCCTGCCGTACTCCTATCTCAGGGCGGTGGGGACATTCAGTTGCCCTCACAGTGGTGTCCTGGGTGAATGAACCTGGAGTCTTCCCCTAGATGGAATTTCTCTCTCCTACCAGCACATCTCTACTCATGCAGAGAGTTTATATGGACCTTTTTTTCTGCGGAGACACTCACAGTCCGGCCTGTCCAGTCACCATCTTAAGTTCCATAACAAAACCCAATATTTTACTTGCCAAAGTTAGGTTTTTAAGGCTAATTATGTAATATATATCATGAACTACTTTGCATATCACAAGGTTTTAGCTACATACCCACAAGAAGCCTATATGTCTCCGTATGTATGTCCTCTGTCCTTTCTCACAAGGCTTGTGACCCTTAGTTGCTATTCTTTACTTGTTCTCTCCTATGGCACCACCAACCTGTCCTCAATGGGTAAACTGGGTGATCTCTTGAGCGCCGCCAGAAGCTCCAGTATGTGCCTCAACTGAGAAGGGTTTTTCACATTCTCAGCACTCTTTTCTCTATGTGTGTGTCTTGCACAGTAATATGTGGCACTGCCTGAGGATTTAAAGATTCTCCACTACATGTTGGAAAATTTGTCAGAGCTGTCTGCAGAGATAGTGATGTGGCCTTGGAAGTTTTGTCTGTAGTGGGTATCTGAGTCACTAGAATCTATCATCCTCATCCTCTCCAGACATTTCACGGGCATTTGGCACACCTACCTGTGCAGTATCCAATAAAGCTATATTCAGAATTCTTCGAGGAGATACTCAGAAACTCTCCAGACATTTTCAGTCCTGTACCAGACTGCACCAGCTTCCCCTGGGCTCCCCATGCAGGAGACACAGTACTTGAATCAGTGCTTCCTCATGCCCAGCCCAGGAGACACAGTACTTGAATCAGTGCTTCCTCATGCCCAGCCACATTATGACCCAGGATCTAGGTGAGACTACCTGGGAGAACACTCAGGAGGAGTTTGACGAGGGTGACAGACCCCATGCTGGAGATGGATGGAAAGAGAGACACTGAGAACCCCGGGTAGTCAGTGAGACTGTCTCACTTTGGGGACAACCCAGAGCCTAAATGGGAAGGTCTACTACTGATTTTGCATAATTACCACCCAGTTATCCCCAAAGGACCCATCTGGATACATAACTAGGAATCCTAGAGGCAGGTTCCTGGTTGACTTTCGCTTTTTCCAGGGGAAGAATAAGGTCACAGTAGTGTCATGGTCTGTCATTCACATGCCGCCACATTCTGGTTTATGTCGCTGTCGGACCAGATAAAAGATGTATCCAACCCCATCTTCTGGTTACCATGAGCAATCCATAAGATTCTTCATGGAATTCATTGTTTTTAAAACCAATTACCAATCTCTGATGGATAAACCTGAGAATGGTCACAAATAGAGAATTCTTATACATATATGTCTGATAACGAGGACTGTCAAAAAAGACTTTTCTTCACAATTGATATTTTTCCCATCACTGTGAATATGATCTAGTCATCCAGCTGAAGTCAGAACAATTGACCCTAGTTGTTTAACAACCTTCATCTTTATTAATTTGCCATATTTTATCTGTGAATGTTCAAAATTTTAAAACTTTATTTTTACTTTTCTTGGTGTAACATAATCTGTTCTTTTATTCTTTTCTTTTTTTTTGTTGGAGTCTCACTGTCACCCAGAGTGAAGTGCAGTGGCCACTCCCGGCACTGCAGCCTCAGCCTGCTGGGCCTCGGCAATCCTTCTGCCTCAGCCTCCAAGTAGCTGGAACTGCAGGCAAGCACTACCAGGCCCGGCTAATATTTTTTGATTTATTGTAGAGATGAGGTCTTGCCAAGTTGCCCAGGCGGGTCTTGAACCCACGGGCTCAGGCAATCCACTCACCTCAGCCTCCCAAATGCCCGGGATTACAGGCTGAGCCACTGAGCCCGACTCGTCTCTTCATTTTTAATGATAATTTTGGGTTTGAGTTCCTAAATTCCTCCAGAGGAAGATTAGTAAAAAAATATGTTTTTATGTACCCAAAATGCTAGAGGACTTGAAAGGATCACCATTTCTACAGTCATACTTATTATTGTTTTTTTAGGAACTTTGTGTCTACTCTTTTACTGCCTTCCTTAATACCATTCATTTATACGCATTTACACATGTCTGCATCATGGAGCATGTCCCTGGTATATTTCCTTTATCACAGTATATTTCATGATGTGGGTAAGGAGCATATTATATCATGACCATGGTTATCATCACGAAGCTAAATACAGTGGGACTTAGGTATATAGTAACAGCCTCTCCATTTGGAAAACCAGCTTACAATTTCAAAGATGGGAGAAATTCCCAATCTCTGGGTAAATTGATTTTATGCAATCAGTTTTTAGGTGATCCAGGAATGCTATACATCAGGAGGTGTTTGTTGTGTATTAGAATCAGCTGTGCCATGTACAATATTTCTATACGAGCCATGAGTCTAACATCCATCATAACTTGTTTCTCCTTTCTGCTGCTCAAAGAACCAAGTAGATGCTGCTGCATTAGTCATTCTCACAATACACTGGTAAATGTTCATTTTCTGAAACGCCAATTAATGACATTAATTACATCAAAAAATGTCACAAGTTTTCCACACTGTTCTCCTTGTTCTGAAGGACTATTGGATTCCATTTCCTGGGATAAATTCTGGGCTGCCTCTTGTTTGACCATTGTGTTATGTGTGTTCCAGGATAACTGTCCTCTTTGTTGGTTGACAAGAGTCTACCAGCTCATCTCACTGGGCACAGTGCAGTTTTGACTGCAACAGTTTTCTTGCATTTTCGTGATAAAAACATGAATTACTTCACTTCATTTTTCATGATTTGATTTTGAAGAAATACATTATTTGGGAGATGGTTATGTAATTTTTAAATTCCATTGATGAGTTTTACTTCCTGCGACTTTTTGGAGTGCATATTCTTTCTTATGTCATGAGATTCTATAGCAAGGTAGGCAACCCCATCCTCTATCTGTTCATCCTTTGATATTAGACACAATGCCTCAGACATGAGTCAGTGAGTTAGGGATTTTCTATCAAATCACACTGATTCTGTTACTCTTTCCAGACTATCTTCATTTTCCCTGATTAATAAAAATACAGTGCTCCAAACAAGCTGTTATATCCATGATTAGAGCAGAATACAACAAAAGCATATACATATAAATAAGAAAAGACACTATGATGAAGTCCCTGATAAACCAGGCACAAGTTCTCTGATGTCGTCTTCCAGTAGATGCTCACATACATGTTGAGTTTTCTTAGCAGTGTTTTATGATGTTATTATGACTTCATTCCAGAGGAAGATTAATAGGGAATAGGGGCTTAGGACTCTGAAATCCTAGAAGACTTGAAGGGATCACCATTACTCCAATCAACTCCTGGTACTGCAATTTTAGGGCATTTGCATCTACCCCTTTACTAACTTCTTTAATATCATTTCTTAATACCCATTTTAAAATGTCCATGTTCTCTGAGTGAGTCTACGTTTCCTCTATGGCGTGTGTGAAGCGTTTAAACACGATGGAAGTTCTCCTAAGGATTAGTATCCAGTGGTGTTCATTAGAGTCCATCACAAATGTGTATTGCATCTGCATAAGTGACCTGCCATGCCCAGACAGCAGCCTTCCAGAGAAAAACAGGTGTTACTGCACCCACAATGTGTACCTACACCTAAAATCAATTAGTTGAAAATGTTAATAATATATTATTGAACATGCCATAAATATGTCAAATAATGCATATGTTTATACATGAAAACTTTATCTTATACAGTGGGTAAGATTTTGTAAAACTTCAGAAAAACCATGCCCACAATAAGAACTAGTCCTTAACTAGTTGACATGGATGAATCCCAAGAGAAGATTGTCTCAGAACCTATCAGGGTTTGCAAAGCCCAGAAACACACAATTATCAGTTTCCTGTACATAAGTCCAGTTGAGATGGCATAGGGCTGTTAGAATAAAAGCTAAAGTACTGAGACAAGGGAGAAGGAAAACATGACAAAATTAAGGCCTCATATGAGACAACGTAGATGGGACATGAGGCTGAAAGCTTGTGGGGGAACAATGATGGACACAAGAGACTCAACATGAAACAAGGCAGTGAGGGTCTCCCTGAGCAAAGGAGATTATGCCCTGAAGGATGTTTTGGAGCAGGAGGCATGCACACACAAGGCTTTGGTGCAGTTTAATGGGGGAGGTATTAGATGTGGGCATTCCTGAAAGAGCAGGTACAGATACTAGGTGTACCTCATATCCTTCCCCGGCTAACATTCACATATATCAAAGATAGGATTAAACCATTTTTCTACCCTGAGAGAAATGACTGAATCTCAGAATGAGGAAGACGATGAGGGTTATACCAAGTAATGGAAATAGAGCCTGAAAGCAAGACTCCTACCCTCACACATGCCTGCCTTACCTCTGTTCCCACAATTTGCAGATATAATACTCCTACTCTGATGGGAGCTATGGTCCCCTCCGAAGACATTCTAATGCCTTCATCTGAGTGTAACAAGAATCTGGAATTTGCGAACAGAGTCTTAAAGTTTCATCAATGTCTCCAAAATGTTTTAGGGTAATAAAATAAATAAATTAACAGAAGACATTTTAAAAGTACAAAAGTCAACAGAATTAAATGTTCTATCTTTTTGGGAAAACACACTCAAGAATCCCTTGACAAGACTAAAAAAAGAGAGGATCCTACGCAAATATGAGAAGGAACTTAAAGAGAAAATATTTTTTGAGGGACAGATGTTTTGTAGTACAGGTTTATCCCACTAGGTAAGCATTCATTGAAACCATTGCCAATAGTGTATTAGCTAGTGATGTTCTGAGAGGCTGCAAATTGTTTCACTGAAGAATATTTGAAGATTTTTTCAAACACGTTTTTCCATTTTGTGATGAGTGATTTTCAAGTAAACCTGTCTGTACTCTGTTTAGCAGTCTGAAGAAAATTGGCATGACCCTTAAACCCTTTCCTCCTATTCACCCAATCTATTCGTAAGTGATGTTTTCTTACCCCAAATGAAAAACGTCCTCAAAAGGAAATGTTCTGCATGTGTGAAAGGGATGAACAACAACGACAGAACCACTAAAAGGCATCAGAATTAAAACATTCAACTACTGCTTTGAGCAGTGAAAAAAATCATAGAGGTGTATTTCATTAAACTGAAGTAAATTGAAGATGACTGAAATTGAACATTTAAATTAAATATATAAATTTTTCATAAATATATATAAGTTTTTTCATAAAGAAATTCTGGGTTTTATGGGAATACTCCCTCATACCCGATACTAGAAATAAAATGAAATGATTTCTAACTGATGCCACTGAAATTCAGAAGAAGTACTAGAGGAACCCTGAGTATTATTCAATGCTACCTACAAGTGCTCGGGTATCTATGGGGCTCTTGTCCGAGGACCTAGCAAGTGAATTGGAAACACAATACTGGTGTTCACATGTTCTAAACACCACACTACATTTCCCATATAATCTGTTTTTGTCAAAGTTGTTCATCCCCCTAATTCAGTACATTCTGAAGATAGATTCATGCAAATACAGAAAAACTTTTCCCAAGTTTGCAACCCAATAAAACATAGAAACAAGTCAAAGAAATGGGGATTATATTATTAATTCTCTTAGTGATGAGAAAATTTCAATACTAGCACTGTGTTCAATAACATCGCTGTGTCCAAATTCAGAGCACACAGTGAGATCTCGGCAGCAATCACTCTCAGTGGAGGTTCTCCCATAGGAAAACACCCATATGTATACAGTTTGCATGTGGTATATACATGATCAATTACTCAGATTCAGCGGAAGAAGCACCCTTTCTTCTATTGGGAGAAGTAGAGAAATTATACTTGGCAAATAACAACCTACTAAAGATTTCTGTTCATGATCAGAAATAAAGAATATGAGAAAATGTGATCTTACTCTAGATTTAACAATTCCTCAAGAAAAAGACAGCTCTGTGTGAGCCCACCGTCAGAATTAAAGTGTGATTTAATAAGGATTATTGTAGTTGCTTCAATTATTTTCAGAGTACATTCATTATTCTATATGTAATCTGAGAGTATAAAAAAATGTTTTCATGTTTAAAAATACATAATCAGTGTCATTTTCCTAAAAACTTACCTCCCATCTCTCCAACAACAGGCAGCCCCAGGGACCAGGAACTCAGTGCACATCTGTGACATCAATCACCTAGTTTGTGAAAAGACGTATGTTCTGGGAGCAGCCGGAAGGATCACCGGAGCCTGGCAGATGGAGGCTGCGGTGGTCAGGAGTGGCCACTGCACTCCAGTCTGGGTGACAGAGTGAGACTCCAACTCAAAAAATAAATAAATAAATAAATAACTGAATAAAATTAATATTACTAAGGTATATGCACAGCTGGTACACACAGGGCATTCTTAATGGGCAACTGTAGCTCAGGGTGGTAATAATAGACGTGTCACACATTTTAGGATAAACAGGTAATTAAGAAGCATCAACTTCTTCCCTGCATTCTTCTTGACTGGTTTACAGATTTGTGTCTTGGACTGAAAGTGTTCACAGCCTCACCTTCCCTTCTGGCTCATCTTCTACTTCCATTATTGACACCTGACTGAAGAGTATATGAGACCTTTCCTTCTATTGTAACAATCTTTCTAATACAGTGTTACTTACAGAATCATAAACATAGAGAGATCCCAGGAGCAACAGATGCAGAGGAAGCCATACCACTGACAGGAAAACAGCCCTCAACCTCACTTTGAATCCTCCCCTGGGGTGGCCGCATATAATGTGGGTCCTGCTCAACCTTTACTTTGGCGTTCCAGGGCAGTTTTTGTCAGGGCTATAAGGATATTTACTCACTGTGTCTTTTGCACAGAAATAGACACCCGTGTCCTCCTTTTGCAGGTTGTTCATTTGCAGAAAAAGCATGTTCTTGGCGTTGTCGCTGGAGGTGGTGAACCGGCCCTTCACAGAGTCTGCATAGCCTGTGCTACCACTATTAGGATTAATGTATGAGATCCACTCCAGTCCCTTTTCTGGAGCCTGGCGGATCCAATACATCCAGAAGCTATTGAAGGCGAACCCGGTGGCCTCACAAGAGAGTCTCAGGGATCCCCTAGGTTGGACCAAGCCTCCCCCAGATTCCACCAATTGTACCTCACACTGGACACCTGTAAACAGAAAGACATCCTCGTCATAAATTGCCACATATTTCCACTGTTTCTCTCACTTACATCCTCTCACACATTAAGTAGCTCTAGGTTTCCATGAATCACCTGTTAAAAGAACAATAAAGAAAACCCAGTGGAGGCCAAAGTCCATGGAGATTCGTCTCTGTTCCATCTTGACCCCTATATGGAAACAACTGAGAAACCCAGGCCTAGGGCTTCTCTCCCAGAGCTACAGGTTCAGCGTTATACTGGCTTTTATCTGCAGAGCAATGACCCTATTTGCATGCCTTCTGCTACATAGCAACTTCTAGGTTGTGTAGCCTCAAATAGAGAATTGTTGAGAGAATATGAGTGTCGTTGGATATTTTGATGAAAGAATAGCATTTGGAAAATGTAATCTCTCATTATTATGTCATGCATTCATAAATATATGGCATCGATGTTTAAAATTTTTATTTTCAGCTTTCTGAATTCAGTGATTCTACAAGACACTCTCATAAGTAATGTAAACAGCACCAATCATTTAGTTTACTTTTCTATTTGCAGGGAAAGCATGGTATATAGTATAAATAATAAATTTATGTACAGGTGTAACATAAAAAACAGAAAGACATATCTTCAGAACTCACACAAGGTACAAGCAAGCCTGGGTACTTGGGCCTGTGCTGCTCATCACTGGACACAACTGCTCTCTGACCCCACCCAGCACAAGTGGGACAAGTATGGTGAGGTGTGTGGAACCCTCTTTCTGTAATGAGAACACAGTGTAATTTGTGTGAATTCTTGTGTTTACCGAAATTATGGGAAGAAAATCTGGTGTGATGGAGGTGTATTTATATGAATCTCAGGAATTTCTTATCTTAATGTCTGTCTCCGTTAGTTACTTCACGTTACGTTCTTTATTTGCTTATTTATTATAGTTTTATTTAATAATTATGGGTAGAAAATAAACATGACATAACTGCTAAAGTGCACATTTAGATAAGTACTGACACGTGCTCAGCTGGGCTTTCAACATAACAATCATTATAATGAAAAAAATAATTATTAATTATTTCTCTTGTTCAGTTGCAATTCCTCCCTCCCAGCCATTTCCTACTCCCACTGTGCCCTAATTCATTCAGCTTTTGACCTTTATTTTAAATTAGTGTTCATTTTACATTTCATAGAATTTATAGCAGTATAATACATAGCATGTTGTTTCTTTGTGTGTTTTCTCACTCAGCAGACACATATGTAAGTAAGGAAACTGGTTGCTTATCAAGAATGTATTGAATATCAAAACTGTTAGCATTAAAATAAATAAAGACTCCACTATCACTATTTGTATAATTAAAAACTCTTCAATATTTGTATTTTTTCAGTTTCTGAGAAGTACTATTGAATCTAATATACTTGGAGATATAGACATCCAATAACATTTAATTATTTGTATTAACCCAATATCAAAGTTTAAAAAATGTTTTAGAAAATGTTATTGATTACTTTAACGTTATAAGACAAACAATTGTTCTAAAATCTGGTGAGAGGAAAAGAATTGGAGAACAGAAAATAGATTGTATCTGGCCCTTAGACCGCGAAATGTCATGTGTGTTAGTAAATGATTAAATTAGGCACAACATTCAATTTCTTATAATGACGTTGTTATGGAATTGGAGTTGAAACTATTAGAAGTCAGGCATTTGGAGTATTTTTATTTTTGTTTAAGTCTTTTACTCCAGGATAAAAACACATAACAAAAAATACTTTTCGCATGTGAAGATTCTGTCTGGAATCAAAGAACAGAAACTATGGAGGAATTCTCCCTCGTTGATGAAGCTTAGCTTGCCGGGGTAGGTTTTTCTCGGTTGAAATTGATTATCTTTTAGAACTTTGAAGATAGGGCTCCAAACTCTCCTAGCCTGGAGGATTTCTGAAGATAAATCTGCTGCTATTCTAATTTGGTCTTCCCTGGTAGATAGTCCCCACAAAATATGGGAGCATATCAAAAGTATCCAGAAACTAACTTGAAAGAGTTTCTAGTGCCCAAAAGAGTTTTAATAATTTGAACAATAAAAAATGCAGAGTAGGCTTTTACATAAATTATGAAATATGTAACAATTAAACTATACTGGTGCTAAGAAATTTAAAAAATGAGAAAAGACAGACATATATTTCAGAAAAAATAGACTTCCAATTAACTTACGTTGTTATTCTGCCTTTCAAGAAGGTGGAGATTAAAACTCCATCCCTTAATTCTAGCATAGTCTTAGGCGTATGAAAGATATTCTCACTCTTTTTGGATTTTACTCTGAGATTTTAGATATGATACAATAAAATCATTATAAAAATAATAAAACTTGCTGTATTAATAATTTTAAATTTTAAATATATGTGAAAAACTGAAATTCTTGTAAAAAGACGAGTTTTATGGAAAATTTCAAAGAACATAGTTCTAATTCACATATTTAGAAAATGACTTGTGTCATGCTTATAGATGAAAACATATAACCAAAATTAGAGAGATTTCCTGGTAACTAACAGATAGGGAGGCAGTTCCAACCCCTGACAAGAAACCAGCTCTTATCATAAATCTGGACCCACCTCTTGGGTTAATTCTGATTAGTGAGTTCGACCCACACCCTGCATTTGACTTTAACCCTGCATTCACACAGGAAGGTGTTCGTCTGGGCCCCAAGCTAATGATTCCTCACAGTGTGTATTGTGCAGTAATATACTGTTGTGTCCTCAGTTCTTAAACTGTGCATTTGCAAATAGAGCATGTTCTTGTTGTTGTCTCTGGAAATGGAGAACCTGACCTTTGCAGAATTTGTGTAGTAGTTTTCACTTCCACCATAGCATATAATTGCCATGCACTCCATCCCCTCTTCTAGGGTCTGGAAGATGCAGTTCATTCCATAGGTACTGAAAGTGAATACAGAGACTGAAAAGAAGAATCTCAGGGACTGTCCTCCAGTCTGGTACAAACCTCCCCAGACTCCACCAGCTGCACCTCACACCAGGCACCTGCAAAAACAGACATAACCTAGTCAGATCTGCCACATATATTCCTTGTTTCTCTTATTCACAAACTCAATATCTTTAGTCTCCGTGAATCACCTTTAAAAATAGCAACAAGGAAAACCCGGGTGAAGCCCCAAATCCATGCTGTGTCATCTGTGTTTCATCCCAATCCTTGATTGGGATCACCTGGG